TTAGCTGAGTGGTAACTGGAGCCAGGTGGGGTGTGGTACATTGGGAGCATGGATTTGGTGTATATATTTGTATGTGGCAAGTGAACACCTCTCTCTGCTTTCTGATCATTATGTGATCTGGGTCCCTCTATCACACTCTTCTGCTATGATATTCTGCCTCATCTTGTACCCTGAGGAATGAGCTGGCCTTCTATGGACTAAGACCTCTAAAAACATGAGCCCTTAAATAAACTTTTTCTCCCCATACAATTGTGCTGGTTGGGTCCTTTAGTCACAGAAGCAAAAAAGCAACTAAAACATTCTCCATTTCTCTTAATTTTCCTGCAAATGACATAATTCCATTTGTATTTATGGCTGAGCAAAACTCCATTGGGTATATATACCACATTTTCTTTATTCAGTAATCTGTTGATAGACACCTAGGTTGGTTCTATAACTTTGTTATTGTGAAGTATGCTGTCATAAACATGGATATGCATGTGTTGCTATAGTGTGCTGATTCTGTTGGACAAATATGGAGGATGGTACAGCTGGGTCATATATTGGTTTCATTCCTAATCTCTTATCACATCAACAAAAACCTGACAATAGAGGTCACTTGTGTCAAACACTGCTGGGAACTTCAGCAAAGGTTTATTTTATTTCATGATATTATCTCAATTTGTAGTTTAATATTATTTTTGTGTTTAATTGGTTAGCATCCCTCACCATTAATCAAGGTTGAGACTCATAAGGGCAAAGATTCTGACTGGCTTGTGGGTAATATTTGGCACAGGTCCTGAATACAACAGACAGGCAGCCTTTCCAATCCACAGTGACACTGAGGTGCAGCACACACCTCCTCCAGTGCCATGAGGAACTGTCTCTGGACCCAACATGTTCATTGGCACTCCCAACCATGAGACCCCATCATTCATCCACCAAAGCTTAGATACCACCTAGTTCCCCAAATTAGCAAGATCAAGTTTTACCTAACTGAGAAGAATGTGCACTTAGCTAAGTTAGACAAGTAATCTTGCTTGCATTATTTTTCCATAATCAAAATTATGAATTTTGGAATTTGAACCTCATACACAAATCATTCCAGAGCACTACTGTGCCTCTCTATACCCACAGAAATTCACTCAGACAGTGCAAGTCAAGATAGGCTTCCCATGAGAGGAACCACCTGGGCCACCATTAGGAAAGGATGAAAATACCATAATGATTGTCATCCTTACATCACTGTTTTGATGGATCACCTGTCCACTTATACTTATATCAGCCTGATGCCTCCCTGAATGTTATTGAGATGGAACTTTTACCTGTTGTCAATGAGAACAAGAAAGGAGATAAACCATTCATGTTGATAAGGACTGTATAGTACTCATACCTGTATGATTCATTTTATGTGGCTGGACTGTCCTTATTTATGCTACATCCTTATTTGTCTCTGTCTGCAACCAGAATAATAACTGGGCATTAGTCATCTGAGTACTTAAATATTTAGAACAGACCTTTTAAGGTATGTATTTTCTGCTTTCCCCCCCCCCCCAGATTGCTCCCTCTTCAGAACAACCAAATCTACACATGTATATCACCTGGCTTTTGTTTCTTTAAATTATAATTGTGTCTGTGGGATAGTTAAGGAGAAGCAATATACTACTTCCTCCTAGGTTGATCAAATGGCATCAAGTTCAATACTCATTTTACCATCTTCTGTCTATTTATTATGTGGGTGGGCATCCAAATCTAGCCATCTAGGATCAAGGCAGATCCCAGGGTTAGGCTATCAGCAACAATCTCACCATAACCCCAAATCTTTTTTATACTTTTTCTATGGAACTATATAATTTCATCTTTTTTCAAGACATATATTTGGCTAAGATGATGAAATAACCAAGGCTAATATGATTTCCCCCTTATTTATTTCCTAATTTCCTTATTTATGCTACGTCCTTATTTGTCTCTATCTGCAACCAGAATAATAACTGGGCATTAGTCATCTGAGTACTTAAATATTTAGAACAGACCTTTTAAGGTATGTGGTAAGTGTTTCACTAAATATGTGTCAGGAGGAGAAGCCAGAGGTCACGAGGGCACTCTCCTGGCACATAATGCTTTCCTGCATTGGTGCAGCACAAATTTAGTATGCAAATCACTTCGTGTTTGAAGATATTACCCTCTATGGAATTAAGTTCATGATGAATCTCTCTCTGTGTGTGTGTGTGTGTGTGTGTGTGTGTGTGTGCTCATGTATGTGATAACTTCTCCCTGGCCTTGAACTCCTGGGATCAAGTGATCCTCCTGCCTCATCCTCTTGAATAGCTGGGACTATATATGTCTGCCACCCCGCCTGGCTAGAGCATGGCTTCTTTGATTGTCCTTTGCAGAACAAGAACCTTTGCATAGGTTGGGCCCCAGCACTGGATGTGTTTTTCATCTCAAGGAACAACTAACCCATCCTTGTTGGTACAAATCACAACCAGTCCAACCAGGACCAGAGATAAGTAGGAGAGGGGGAAAATCATATTAGCCTTGGTTATTTCATCATCTTAGCCAAATATGTCTTGAAAAAAGATCAAATTATATAGTTCCATAGAGGTTTTACATACAAAAAGTATAAAAAAGATTTTGGGTTATGGTGAGATTGTTACTGACAGCCTAACCCTGGAACCTGCCTTGATCCTAGCTGGCTGGATTTGACTGTCTGCCCACATAATAAATAGATAGAAGATGGTAAAATGAGTATTGAACTTGATGCCATTGATCAACCGGGGAGGAAGCAGTTAGATTGCTTCTCCTTATCTATCCCACAGACACAATTATAATTTACAGAAACAAAAGCCAGGTGATATACATGTGTATATTTGGTTGATCTGAAGAGGGAGCAATCTGGAAAAAAAGGCAGGAAATACACACATGCAGATTTAGTTAGTCTGTGTTAGTCCCAGAAGGAAGGAAATCCCCATTTCCATCTTCTTTGGTGCCTGTCAGGGTGGGAGGTGGAAGCCCCATGGCCCTCCAATTTCTACTCTCAGCATGAGGAAGTCATTCCCAATGTCAGATGGGGTGCCTCCAAATTCAGTCTGTTTCAAGGCTGTTAGTTGTCAATAGTTATCAAATGACACTGTAATCTCTCCTTGTTTGAATGCACGCCAGAGATGTGGTAAGGGTTGGTGAAGGGTGAGTATCAGTTGGCGCAGAGTAAGAAAAAAGAGAGAAGGAAGCACATAAGCACAGCTTAAATGTCTTCTCATTCTGTTATGTTTTGAGAACTTGGAGACTTTGTTACCTAATCTTCAGTTTCTCAGGCTAATCAAAGAATTTGACTCAGAGTTGAGATAATGAGCTGATATAACTTCCAAACACTCAGACCTAGCATCACTCACATCAGGAATCTGCTGAGGGTCCCACAATGACAACTGTTCGTATAAGACTCCTCCTAAACCAGGTCCCAGGGTCTGCTCTCCACCCACAACCACCCATTTACCAAAAAGCAGGAAGCCATCTGCTCAGACACCTCTTGGCCTAATGAAAAATCCAGGATCATCTTTTTGGAGTTCTGGTGCTGGATGTGCTCTCTGTGGTGATATCTGCCATGAGATGGGTGGGTAGAGATTTGCGGTTCATCTGGCCATGCAGGCTGCTGTTCTTCTCTTCTGTCCTTTCACACCCATTGGTCATGGACATGCATTATTTTCAGAGACAGAGTCTATTCTTTGCTCTAAAATCTGTCTAACTTTCTGGCTACTGCAGGGATCTCTTACTGGCTGCACAGGAAGTAGCCTGGATTGACATTACTCAGTGCATCCATCAGCTTCATCTTGTCCATGCCCACTATTTTTTTCTAGGGGACTTCTCCCCATCAGGGTACTGGCACAGCAGCCTGAATGTTCTGGGAAGGTGGCTGTGGCCCAAACAAGCCAAATAATCTTCCTGTATTAATAAACCAGGAAGATGAATTGGTCAGCAAAGACACACAGGGAAAGAACCTGCAGAGGCCCAGCAATCTCTCCTGATTCAATGACCAAACATCTCTGATACCAGCTCTTTGTAAAGAACTCTCCTAGGGACTAGGTGCATAATAGTGGATAGTACAGAGACCCTGCTGCAGAGAAGTTCACATTCTGGAAAGTTAAACAAAGGTGGAATCCAACAATGTTGTTGGAGAGTAAAGAGAAAAACAACAAGAGAAATGTGTTCCAGGGATACTAGAAGTTGTCCAGGGGAGGAAGTGGTTCTGTGAAGAGGTGGTATTGAAAGCATTTACCAGATGAAGTTTTGACTGAGCTGGGTTTTGAAGGATGATTAAGAGTCTTCTGGGCTGGGGCTGGGACTCAGTGGTAGAGTGCTTGCCTAGCATGTGTGAGGCCCTGGGTTTGATTCCCAGCACTGCATAGAAATAAATAAGGAAGGAAAGAAAGAAAGAAAGAAAGAAAGAAAGAAAGAAAGAAAGAAAGAAAGAAAGAAAGAAAGAAAGAAAGAAAGAAAGAAAGAAAAAATATTTTTTAAAAAGTCTTCCATGGAGCAAGAGGGCATTGTAAGCAGAGGAAAGAGCATGAATAGTTATTTAGATATAATCTTTTTGGGTGGAATTAAAGGATTTTGTAATGAGAACACCCAAGGAGACGAAAACTGATTAGAGGACATTTAATTCCAATGTTTCACTTGAGTTTCTGATAAGAAGCAATAGCCTTAGGGCATAATGATAACACTGATCAAAGTTTTTATTAATTTTTATAAACCTGAGCTCAAAGATCAAAGTAGGTATGTCTCATGACTCACTGCCAACTGCCAAGGTGGAGGGGGCATCTTGCTTCTGCAATAGTGGGTGGGGCACAGGTGTTTTTTTTCTATTGGGTGTACACCCAACCCCGCCTCCTTTCCCAGCATATAAATATGCCAGTCTGACTCACAGTTGTTCACAGATCGCAAGCTTGGCACCTTCCCCTGTGAAAAGATAGCTCACATAGCTGGAAGTCAAACTCAGAAGAGAAAATTTTAGAAGGAAAGTAGTGATGGACCTGATCCCAAACTTTTCCATGGAAACCTGGGTTCTCCTGGGAATCAGCCTGGTGCTCCTCTATCTGTGAGTAACTGTCCCAGTTCCTCTCCTCTTCAAATCTCTCATTTCTGTGAATAGGAGTTTTAGTAACATAATTTGATTTGGGGGATGAACTTCTGATTGAGTCTCAGTTTGGACCTAGAGTTCTGTAGAGGCGGATTACAAACAACTGGACACCTTCTGAAAAGTGATGCACTCTTTGCAAACTTTCAGAATTCTGGGGGTAAAGAGGGGTTTACACAACTTTCTGTGTCATTGCTTATCTGTTGTGTTCTATGTGCACTACAAGAGATGTGCAGGAGGCTCATCTCCTGTGGAACAGGTGGTTCCTGCTCCTCCTCCCCACGTTCCAGCACCATTTATAAAATGCACCAAGTGCACCCCAGGTGCTACCACAGGCTCAGACTCAGTTCTTCCCTCTGTTCTCTTCCCTTTCCCTGGAACAGTCCTCCCTCCAAAAACTCAAATGCTCCACCCTGCATTATGCAGTTACTTCTGAATGATAAAACTATTGAGCAAAGACCTGGGAGAAATTTGGAACTTTTATTCCTTAAGTTAGCATCAGTGTAGAGATTTGTTTCTCCCTTGATTTGAAATCTAATGGCAGCCTCAAGAGACAAAAGTTAATAAGCCCATTTTGTATTTTAAACATTTTCCCATGATATTCCAGTACAGGAGCATGAATAAAATAATCTAGTAGAAGAATTCCTTTAAATAGTGGGATTCCTGGTCTGGGGTTGTAGCTCAGTGGCAGAGAGCTCATCTGGCATGTGTGAGGCACTGAGTTCAACCCTCAGCATCACATAAAAATAAATAAATAAAATAAAGGTATTGTATCTGCCTACAACTAAAATATATTTAAAAAATAGTGGGATTCCTGGTTTAATGGAGCAGGTGAAGAGAGCAGTTATTTCTGACTGAGGGTAGAAGACATTGCCCCAAGGAGACCTTTGACTTCTATCTTAAATCCACTTTTATAGTGATGTGAAAATAGAAAATATAAACCTGGTTGTAACAATTGAAGTAAAGGGTAATATTCAGGCTTTTGTTACATCAATTTTCCCTCCAGTGGCATTTTAAAATTAATGGAAATGTTTTAATTTCATTCTGCTCAATTTCTTTGAGGTAAGTTCCTCTTGTTCCTTCTGAAGGTCAAAATAGGATTCTGTATTTGTGAAAACCAATCTGTTTAAAAATGACCTCATCTTTTTTGAACAATTGAAGAAATATTAATTTAATACATACATCCATGACGTAGGTTGCACACGTCTTTAAATATACCTGCCCAGCTGGTTATTCTTACTCAACAGTTTCCTGTATGCCAGTGTTCTTAATCTATTACAGCAGATGAATAAGGGAGAATGTGGACCAGGGATGCAATAAAAGGCATCCAGAGAGGTTTTATGAAAAACTGGGAGAATATTCCTCTCTGCTCAGGGAAGGAGACCAAGAGTGGGGACAGCCCCCACCGGAGGCCCCTAGAGGGGCCAACATGATGGTATCAAGTCAGCTTCCTAAACTGACATCAGCGAATGAGGTGACCTGGAAGCAATCTAGGCTGAATTGCTCAGGAATTTTCAAGTTCATGTTTGGAGGACTTATATCAGCTACTTACTGTAGCATTGGGAGCCTAATGATGGAATTAGCTGCTTTGAGCTAATTAATATGACTTTTGTGGTCCCTCAGGGAATGTGAGAGAGGAGATGATGAGCAGATGTAATTAGGGCCATTGGAGTTTTTGTTGTTATTTATGGCCTACATGTTACCTCCCTGGCTTCACTGTTCCCATTCTTGAATCAGTGACTCGTGAGCCTCTATATACACACAGTCACAATCCCTTGACCTGGATTTCTCTTCCACTTTGTAGATATGGGACCTATTCACATGGATATTTTAAGAAGCTGGGAATTCCAGGGCCAACACCTCTGCCCTTTTTTGGAACTCTTCTTAATTATCGCCGGGTGAGTATCATTTGAGCTCCCTGTTTTGCCTCTTATAGTTGCACACACCTGCTTAGTTACATCAGTAGAAATTCAGCTCCATGAGAGAAGTTTCAAGATTTCTAAGGTTCGGAAACTGTGTGAGGGCCCCATCCAAAGCACAGTCTGGTTTACCCTGGGGCTCTGTTTACAACTCCTCATAGTGTCAGGTTCACTTCTGTTGATGAGCTCAGGACTCTGGCACAAACACACTGTAATCTGTGGACTTTCTGTTCAGACTGAGAGCATTCTCACAGAGTTTTCTTTTTTCTCAGTGCAGATTCTAGGAAGATACACTCATACCTCTGGGATGCTTTATTTGCACAGTTAAAATATTACAAATGAGGAAGATTAATTGCTTAGTTTCTATGATGAAAACTCAGAGCCAGTGTCTACCTGTGTTCTATGTGCAGAGAAGTAGCATCTCCCCTTTTCCTAGGTTGACACAGGAAGGCAAGTCCACTTTTGATTTGCTCACTATCTCACTTACTTACTCAACAATATGATTGTGACAACATAAATCTCCTAGGCTAGAAGAGGTTGCTGGTATCTTTAACTTCCTAATGCTACCAGAATTTTAGAGACAACATGAGATAAATTAAAATGATTCTGGATGAGGAGACAAAAGATGGCCCTGGGAAACACTCACTTTTCCTCACCCTGGGTTTCCTCATGTACCCATGGAGGTAATAATTCAGAAGGTCCCAGTATTTCTGAGACAACATAAGTAGAAGAAGAAATACTGCAGAAGACAAGCATGTTGTATTCATAGACAAGGGCAATTAGTTGAGTATGTATAATACTTAGAGAAAATTTAAGTGACTTTACATATTTCATTTTAAATATTGCATATTTTCCCTTTTCTCCTCAGAAGCCTCTGAGTAAGAGCTTCTCTCTAACCACCTGTTAGGAACAGCAAGCCTGATTTCATGGGATTTGGGTCATTTGATGTGATGTCAGTACATTTACAACAATAATGGAATTTCATTTTGTTCTTCTTCCTAGGGCTTTTTTAATTTTGATGCAGAATGTTATAAAAAGTATGGAAAAACATGGGGGTGAGTATTCTGGAAGCTTCTCTTTGGTAGACTTGTTATGATGTGGCACCCCAATGTGTGAGGACAATCTCAGCCCAGAGCTTTTGGGATACAACCCTCTGTGCTGCAAAGTCCTTGGAGGCTTGTCCTGCCAAGGGTCCTGCATGTCATCAGGAGTCGGGTTCCACAGTCTGATTTAGGTTGAGAGTGTTGCATGTTTTGGCTTTTCTCCTGCTTTTGATGACCCAGAGTCTCCTACCCTTACTTTATGTCCAATGTCTGGTTATTCCAATCTTCCCCATTTTGTTTGTTTTTGACTCCTTTTATTGAATAATAATATGTATTATTTGAGAACTTTTTTTTTATCGTGGGCTTATAAGTCTATGACATCATCTTTTTCCTCCATTGATGATTAAAAGCAAAATTCCCTTATTTAATTTTCAGATTTAATATATGCTTTTGAACCAATGGCTGGGAGGTACTGGGAAGCAGATGGGAAGTCCTTCTGCTCAGTTTTCTTAATTTCCTTTACTTCTTTTCTTCTTTTTTATTGTCATCATTATTGTTGCTCATATGCCATTTTTAAGTTTTCAGCGTTGACTTTTCAAGGAAGCATTTCTTTCTCTCCTTCATCCATTTGACGTTAAGACCAGACATAGAATGTAGTTCCACCAGTGAGTTCCCTGGTGGATTGACGGGGTTTATATTGGAGGGTGGCCTCAGCTAATTGTAGCAACTATTCCCTTTCAGAGCTGGTGGGGGTTTGGTGAGAGCCATAGAAGAGGTGTAATCATTTTGCTCTACACTAAAAATAGTGGTAGAAGACATTGACTCTTCTTCTCCATCTTCTCTCATCAATCCACAGAAAGCCACAGGGCTGACCACAGTGTTCTGCTCAGTTGACATGGCCCATAGATACCATGTGATTCAGTGACACAACATTCCCTGCTGGATCTCCAAAGGCTCCACTCCAGCTACCACTTGCAAAACTTAGTAATTGTGACCAGTTAGCCAACTATCTGCCTTCAATTTTTTTTCACTAACCTAATAGCCTTTTGAATAATCCAATATTTTGCGATGTGAAAAGTATGGAGACTATGGGCTACAGCTGTAGCTCAGTGGCAGAGCACTTGCCTATCACATGTGAGGCACTGGGTTTGATCCTTAGCACCATATAAAAATTAATAAATAAAGGCATTCTGTCCACCTACAATTACAATAAACAATAAATAAATAAGTTATGGAAAGTAGTGTAGGCAATACTATTATATTCACCATCTAGATTTAACAAGTGTTGCAATGCTATTTCTAATTATGATCTCTTAGGAGGTGTATTTTGTCTCTACATTTCTCTTCCTACCTACTTTACGTACATTACCCTTTATGCTATGAAGACTCCAGTGGCTTCTGTGGTCAGAATCCCCAAGAGAACTTCATGTTGCTATATATTGTAGGACTAGGCAGGTAGAATAGGTAACATCAGGATCAAAGTTTGGATTTCTGCAGCAGAATCTGGCCTGTTAGATTTAATCAGCCGTATTTTCTAACACAGCATATATGATGGTCGACGGCCTGTTTTGGTTATTACGGAGCCAAGCATTATCAAAACAGTGCTCATCAAAGAATGTTATTCTGCCTTCACTAACCGACGGGTAAGCATTTACTTTTTAACATTTTAACATTTATTTAGTTATTTTTAAGTTTTTAATTTATTCTTTCCAGTTATACATGACACTAGAATGTATTTTGACATATTATACGTACATGACCTACAACTTCCCAATCCTGTGTTTGGACATAATGTTGAGTTTCTCTGGTTGTGTATTCATATATGAACATAGGAAAGTTATGTCTGATTCATTCTACAGTCTTTCCTATTACAATCCCCTCTCCCTTCCCTTTGTTCCCCTTTGTCTAACCCAAAGTAACATTTATTTATTTATTTATTAACTCAATTTTTATCCTGAGATATTTATAAATTCAGAGGGCATTCCTTGCCAAAAACATTACCAGGCAGTTGCATGTATAATTTATTATGTTTTACCCAAAGATAATTTCTTACATGACTATACATTTATTAAGTTCCTATTTCTATAGTAACAGGAAATTGATACAATCTAGGCTTTTTATTTTCATTTTTCTTGTTTTGTGTGTCTATATGTATGAGTGTGCAGCTCTGTGCAAATGTATCACATTCCTACATTTGTGTAGATTTAGATTGTGTTTTTAATGTGTTTTCACCAGTTCTTCATTAACCTTAGAAATGTGCCTGGTTTCTTGTGTGTTGACCACATTGGTCAATGTTTGCACCTACAAATAGGTAAAGTCCTATTTGTATGCCTTTTATTTATTTGTTTTTCTTTTCCTCTGACATCAGCTGGGAGTTCCAGTGTGGGGTTGAATAAGAGCCAGGAGAGTGAACATTTCTTTTGAAGGATATAGACTTAAACTTCCAAAGTTTACCCCAATTTTAGATGAGGCTGATGTGTGTGTGTGTGTGTATTGCCATACAATCTCTATCTTCACTTTTTAAAAACTTTGGGTGCTGGGTCTAGCTCAGTTGGTAGAGTGCTTGCCTCGCAGGCACAAAGTCTGGGGTTCAATTCCCAGCATCACAAAAAATTTTTAAAAAACTTTGATTAATGTATGATAATATGTTCAATACATACATATATTCCACACTGCCCAAATCCAGCCTCTATTTACTTCCCAACATGTCCAAATCACTAATCTGCACTCAGATGAACGTTTTTACTTGTCTTTCTGTATATGACTGAGCATACATTGTAGAATTATTCCTGATGCTTGAGAGAAAGCATTCAGTTTGCCACAAGTAAGTATACTGTTAGCAGAAAATGGATTTTTGTAGAATCTCTTTGTCAAGTTGAAGAAACTTCCCTCTGTTCCTAACCTCCTAAATTTTTACAGTGAATGAATTGCTTAACACCTCACCATTACTTATTTACTCAAGTTTATCAACTTGAAATAGTAAGTAACACCGTTGCTAAGGCTGGCTTTGAACTTGTGGTCATCCTATCTCAGACTACCAAGCTGCTGGGATTACAGGCATGCACCACTGTGCCTGGCTGGAAGCATACATTTTAATACAAAAATGTATTTTAGATGATGGAACTAAATTTCAAGGGTTTTGCTTTGGTGGGCTAGCACCCAGGTGAAAAATAGAATTATCTTCCTTTCCCCCTCGGTCCTTGTAGAAAATATTGGAAGAACTTCCATTAATAACTTGTGTTTTTCCTGTATTACACTTATATTCCAAATCCTTTAAGTTTCAAATATTATTATTTTAAAAATTATTGTATCTAAGCACCCCTTTATCAAGATACTTATGCTGTAAATGCATGTAAAGACAGAATTGATCTTAGGTAACATACAGTTGACCAAGAACACCTGATATCTGTCACCAACCCATTTCTGCTCTGCATAGCCCTGGAGGTTGTACTAGGTCTTCTTCCAGTCTATTCCCCTGGAAAAAGCTTCCAACCAAGGGGAATTTTACATCTAAACAAAGGTTGCAATATAAAGTCCAAAAATGGTGTGAGGTGCCTGGGTGTCTCTTCCAAACTCACAGGAGGCTAGGCACTTGGAATAAATACTGATGAGTGTCTGACATAGGTCTAGCTACCTAGTAGGCAGTCACTAAACATTTTTTTAAGTAAATCATGCTTGTTTAACAAACTTTTGCCACTGTTGAGACCTCCAAATTTATGTAGGACAAAAATCTCTTTTCCTCTGGGCTCTAGGATTTTGGTCCAGTGGGATTTATGAAAAAAGCCATCTCTTTGTCTGAGGATGAAGAATGGAAGAGAATAAGAACACTGCTGTCTCCAACCTTCACCAGTGGAAAACTCAAGGAGGTAATAAAATAGGAGGGCTTTTCACTGGAAACTTAAAGAATAAATCTGGGTGTGGGTAGAAAGTGATATAGATCACAGTCCCTTTCCAAGGGATAGTCCTCTGAATTTGAACTTACTAAAAATGTTCTTTTGTCTTTATATTTTAGAAGAGATATAGTAAAATTCATTATAAATGTCTCATACTTCTTCATCCTGGGAAAACCATAGCCTTGGGGACTGAGTCTCCTCACTGAACTATGGGTGATCTTGTGTTTTGTGCTTAGATGTTCCCCATCATTAACCAGTATGGAGATATGTTGGTGAAAAACATGAGACTGGAATCAGAGAAGGGCAAGTTTATCAACTTGAAAGAGTAAGTAGCAGGGCAGCTCCGGCATTCCAAGCTCCACCAGGAGCCCCTCCAACTGCCTGCCACTGAACTGAATTCCAAATGTTGAGCTAGTGCAATGAGCAGACAAAGCAAGAGTTTGGAGTCACAACTCTAACTGTTCATCCAAGAAGGTGCTACTCCCAGGAGGAGACAGGGCAACTGGGGGAGAAAGGATCTCTCTTGTATCCATCAAGGTTTGTTTGGCTGCTATTTATGACTTTCGATATACTAGAAGACAAAGTACTGTCCAGGTCACCTTTTTTGAGCCCTATAGGAAGACTCAGTTATTCTACCCTTGTCCTGCTGAAGCTCAGTTTGTACACAACTGTCATCATCCACATTCTATTTGTGCTACTGTAGTGTGTCTGATTATGGATCTGATTCCTGTGTGGGTGAGCTTCTTGAGTTCAGAGGTGAGTCTAACTCACCTCACTGTCCCCATCAGTCCTGGCACAAGGGAAGTACCTTATTTGCAACTCATAAAGGCCTCTTAGTCAGTGTGAAGGGATCATGGACTCATAGTCCAGCAGATAACTGTGACAGTGTGTGGCTCTCTGCTTGTCTTGCCTGGGTATGTGAACTTACTCCTACTTCTTGCTGCATGTGTAGTGGAAGGATTGGGAAGAGGCACTGATTTTAACTTTCCATGTCTTTCTCTATTCAGCATCTTTGGGGCCTACAGCATGGATGTGATCACTGCTACATCATTTGGAGTGAACATCGATTCCCTGAACAACCCACAAGATCCCTTTGTGGAGAAAGTCAAGAAGCTCTTAAAATTTGATTTCTTTGACCCTTTGCTCCTCTCAATAAGTATGTGGACTACCATGTTATTTGTTCCCTCTCTCTATTCAAATGATTATTATTGATACATAATTAACATACCTTTTAATTACCCCACTTAATTTATACAATTATATGGTTTTCAGTACAAAGATATACTGAGCCATCACTAGTGACCATTTGTCAACTCAGAAGCAGGCTACCATTTCATTATCAACTCTCTATTCCCCAAGCCTAAGCAACCATGGATCTTTTTTTCTGACTCTATAGATTTGCTGATACTGTGAATTGTCTATTAATGAATCCCACAGTATGTGGCTTTGCATATCTGACTTCTTTCATTTATCATTGTGTTTTCAAATTCTTCCATCCTGAATCATCTATGAGTACTTCATTTCTTTTTTGAATGAAATTATTTATTTATTTGTTCTAATGAATTATACATGACAGCAGAATGCATCTCACTACATAAAACACAAATGGAGCACAAATTTTCACTTCTGTACTTGTATATGAAGTAGATTCACAGCATTTGTGTCATCATACATGTTCCTAGGGTAATGATGTCCATCTTATTCCACCATCTTTCCTACACTCATCCCCCCTCCGTTTCCCTTGCCCTATCCAAACTTCCTTCATTCCTCAGATGACCCTCCCACCCATTAGGGATCAGCATCCACTTATGAGAGAAAATATTTGGCTTTTGTTGTTTTGGGATTGGCTTACTTCACTTAGCATGATATTCTCCAACTCCATCCATTTATCTGAAAAATTCCATGATTTTATTCTCTTTTAATGCTGAATAAGATTTCATTGTATATATGAACCACATTTTCTTTATCCATTCATCTGTTGATGGGCATCTAGGTTGGTTCTGCAGTTTAGTTATTGTGAATTGAGCTGCTATAAACATTGATGTGGCTGCATCAATGTAGTATGCTGATTTTAAGTCCTTTGGGTATAAACAGAGAAGTGAGATAGCTGGGTCAAATGGTGGTTCCATTCCAAGTTCTCTGAGGAATCTCCATACTGCTTTCCAAAGTGATTGCACCAATTTACAGGCACACCAGCAATGTAAGTGCCTTCCCCCGCAAATTCTCACCAACATATATTTTTGTTTGTATTCTTCATAACTGCCATTCTGACTGGAGTGAAATGAAATCTTAGAGTAGTTTTGATTTGCATTTCTCTAATTACTAGAGATGTTGAACATTTTTTTCATATATTTGTTGATCAATTGTATATCTTCTTCTGAGAAATGTCTGTTCAATTCCTTAGCCCATTTATTGATAGGGTTATTTGTTGTGCAGTTTTTTTTTTGTGTTAAGTTTTTTGAATTCTTTATATATCCTGGAGATTAGTGCTCTATATGATGTGCATGTTGTAAAAAATTGCTTCCATTCTTTAGGCTCTCTCTTCACCTTATTGATTGTTGCTTTTGTTGATAAGAAACTTTTCAGTTTGA